GTAGATGATAGTTCTTAACAAAGGATGACATCAAAATTCAAAACAAACAGAATACAAATTTTGATCTGTATACTAACACCTCTATCTATAACAGACAGTCCCTATTATGAGTAGTATCTTATCAAAAGTACGCCTGAATTTTCTTTGCAAGTAATCACTACGAAGTCAATTCGTCTATAAGAGAGACAACTGACACTTTTAAATTACTTTGCCGCAGATAGCAAATTCTTGTTAACCTCTGCAGACAACACATCACAGCCTTATGTCAAGTTTCTGGCATTTAATGTATACTTCATATTATTGGACGGTCTGACGGTCAGTCATGTTAGCTCAAAGTTTCACACATGTTTTCAATGACTGAATATTGAGTATTACAGTACATGGACTTTCTCCAATAAAAAAGTCCATTTTGGCAACTCAAAATGGAGCCACTTTAGCTCCAGTGAATCTATTGACATTGCTGGGATATGTCATACTCAATTCACTGATACACTGAAATTGCTTGGTTGATTGACCTGTTTGTGGTTCAATGTAAAAAAGATACCACTGGATAAAAAGAAACATAGAAGAATAAAATTGCTAGCAAGTCTGCAGCACCTGCCTGGAGCAGGTAAACAAAACTCTGCCTGTGATTTTTGTTGGAAATAAAAACTTGTTGTGACTAGCGTACCAAGGTATCATTCCTTTTAATCAATCCAGTTTCAGATTTAATTAATCCAGATTGTTTGGATGTTCCTGGAAGCTGGAACAAAAGGGGTCTCGGAATGACTTTTCATGTGAGTGAGCTCAATGAGTAGGTGATATAATCCGGAACAACTTTGCTCAAAGGAAACAGCTTTGATTTCCAGTCTAAATGATCTACCTTCACACGTGGATTGTTTGGATTGTAATCTAAGAGTGGTCTGGTCAGAAATGGAATAGGAAATCCCATTTCCAATTCCACAGTCTAGATTTAGTTTGGTAAGAGAAAAAGTATCAAAATCACTTTGTGCTGGCTGAAAAGATGCAAACTATTAACAAAGCAAACATTTCTGTGAAATAAAATTCAGGACATAAGTATAAAAAAGAAGTCAAAATCAGAGACTTAAAATGTTGAGTGACTGGGAAGCCTTGCCAATATATTCAGTCTGGTAACTGACTTAAATAGCAGTGGATTGTCACTTGTTCAAAAAATCACAAAAATGCAAACAAAGTAGTGATCGTAAATTTAGAAAAAAATAGTTATCTGAGAGGGCCATCTGGTAAAGCCTTTAAATGTGTCTCTAAAAAATATGCATGACAATGGTAAGTTATAAAACTAATGCTTAACCTGTTCCTTTCTCTTCCATTCTCCTTTTACAAAAATAAAGGAGTTGCATGCAAGAAAGTAGACTTAATTAATTAGTATTATGAAGCTAGGCGTTCTTGGTTCTCTTGCTAAATGAGATGATTGTCTACTGCAAGTTTTCCCCGTCACTGCCAATTCACGGTAACTACAGTGGAACCCTGTTAATACGGACACCAAAGGGACATGATAAAGTGTCCGCATTATCCGGGTGTCTGTATTAAGTGGGCTAATTTAAGAGAAAACATATGAGCTTTTTAGTTGTCGGGACAAAGAAAACTGTCCGTTAGAAGCAGGTGTCCGTATTAAGCGGGTGTCCGTATTAAGCGGGTGTCCGTAGAGCGGGGTTTCACTGTATTAATGATGAAAAGAGCCATTAGGCCAGTGTGCTTTCAGATATCAAAAAAACTTATATTAAATGAAAACTCAATGAAAACCAAAATTCTTTGTAATAAAAAGAACATGAACACGAAATTAGCTCTTGTTCATGAAATTGTATCAGTGGAAGTGGAAAACCCTTTTTCAAATCAAATATACCGTGTGTTTGTATTGTAGCACAGCGTGTGTCACTTACCTGCTCAGCTGGGTAAACATACTTTTCCATGAATGCCTTCATCTTTTTATACAACATTTGAGCCTTCGGCGATGGTTGGAAGATGTTACTACATGTAGATGAATTCAGCTTTCCAAGAGGGCTTTTCCTAGAATAATTACAGAGCACTTAGTTAAAATTACAACTTGTCACACAATCAATGAGGTTGAGAGCTCCATTAAAGCAAACATTCCCTTGTTTCCTTTTAATGGGCATCTTGTATCTTTAATTGTGCTGTGGTGATTAAGTTTCACTCTATCTTTCTACAATACCATGTTTTCTGTATTAGACTAGCTAATGTTTGGATAAAGCTAACTAGAAATAATTCACGAGGCCATTTAGAAAAAGTTAATAACAGCAGTTGACCTGCTGAAAACAAAAATGCTTGTTCCTAAAGGTGATTTTGCGATCTTTGCTTGGAAGTATAGGTTCGAAGCACTGCCACCAATGCAGAGCCCATCAAAATGGAAGTAAACACAGCCAAAACTTGTCGCCATCATATAACTGTCTACTCAGACCACAAGTCATTAGAGAACATTACGAAGAAGTCCCAACTTCACCCTCTTGTTACGCTGTAACAAGTGTCCACGATGAACTGGCAGTCACTGATGGCCTGGTCTTCCATGGGGAAAGATTAGTCATCCAAAAAATAATGAGATCTCAGATCAAGAAAGAGGTCCACGCTGGACATCAAGGCATCAACACATGCTTGCAGAGAGCCCGGTATGAACAAAAAGTTAAAGAGTGGATACAACCAGGTGAAGCTTGCCGAGAGTTCAAGCAGACACATTGCAAGGAAACCCTCATGAGCCATGAAGACCCTAGACAAGCTTGGGAGAAAATCAGCTATGATCTGGTCTCGTACCATGGTAAAGACTACCGCAGTCTGCTACAAGTCCAACTCCTGGGAGCTTGACTGCCTTACTGATACCAAGCCCACAACTGTCATCAAGAAACTGAAAGTCCACCTTGGTACAGGATCCCCAGACAGCTTGTCTCTGACAAAGGTGCTCAGTTTGTTTCCTGTGAGTATAGGAACTTCACCAAGACATGGAGTATTGAGCACACCACCACGTCACCTCATCAGAGCAAAGTTGAATCAGCTGTGAAAGTGACCATGCGCATGCTGCGGAAAACCGCCAAGTCAGGGGAAGACCAATAGCTTGCCTTGCTTAACATCAGGAATGCCCCGACACAAGGCCTGGACAGCAGTCCAGCCCATCGTCTAAAGGGAAGGAGGACCAGGACCACAAAGTCCCTGCTGGAGCTAAAGAACCCCCTGACCCCTCAGGAAATGCAACAGCTTCAATCAAATCAGAGGAGACAGGCAAAGCACTACAAACGTACTGCACATGACCTGCCCACCTTAAGGGTAGGGGACACTATCCGAATGAAACCATTTGCCCTCAGACTATGAAGCTGGAAGAAAGCTGAGGTGACTCACAGGCTGGATGAATGATCATATGAAGTTGAAGCATCTGGAGCCACCTACAGGTGCAATTGAAAACACTTGGTGAAGAGCCCACAGTCTTCCAACCCTATCCTATTTCAATATCCCTCCGATATTGCTACACACTCCAGAAATGATCAAGACATAACTGCATCTCCTACTCACAAACTCAAGAGGCTGTCTCTGTAAAAACCGACCACTGATTTTACTTCGAAAATTCAATTTTTCTCATAAGCTGGGATTTCAAAGCCCTTACCTAGTCAATCACCAAAACGAGTTTTATTTGATTAAAAATTCTAATAGGATTTTTCTAGGATTGATTGAAGTTCGGTCTGCTCGACACAAGTTGCATGCCTGCCGAAACTGGAAAAATAGCACATATTGCCGGCGCTCAAAAAAAATAATATTCGCTCAAAAGTCCCAATTCTTTTTTTCAACTATAGATATATCATAGCAGTTTGTTTAGCCATGTTGCAATTATAATTCAATCTTATTCCTTCAACGGTCAGAAGAAGATTTTCTACCCGTTAAATCGAGTTTTGAACCAAACACGAAAATACCTCTACTTTGAAGGCACGTTTTTAAAATGTGGCACCAGTTTGAAACTACTGAACTACACGAATAGAAAGTATCAATGGCCCTTAATTTGAAACAATACTAAAATTTGGCCACTTTGTGTTTACAACATCATTGATTCCCGTGATACTCACAGGAAGATTGGGAACTAAAACACCTGTTGTAAACATAAAATGGCCGTGGCATTTATCAATCCTTCCTTGGATCCCTGGATCACCGTTTACTGTTCATACATGTATGTGCACCGAGAGTTGTTCAAGAGTGCTTCTACAAACCTTTCAAGAGGAGTCTCCGTGATTAACTGGCTTTGAGGAAAACAATGGTCAGTGATACAAAGAACATCGAAGTATGTGACCGTCACGCTTGGCACAGATGAGGAACGTATAAATGTACCTTGTATACAAACCTACAGTTGGAAGGAAAAGCTGGCAGTTTTAATGCTACCTAGGTTTCAAGGATCACTACAGAGGACCAAACGTTTAATCTTGAAGCCAGGTAAGAGATGTGAATCTATTTGAGCACTTTACGAAGGGGAGTGTGTTAGTTACTCAATGGAATATTTTCAAAATTTCCTGAACTTCAAGCGGTCGTTGGTTTTGAAAACCTAGTGGGCAGACAAATTTTATTATTGTTTTAAATTAAGGGCCATTTATACTCTCTATTCATGTAATTCAGCAGTTTCAAACAGGTGCCACATATTTTGAAACGTGCCTTCAAAGTATGGCTATTTTCGTGTTTGGTTCAAAACTCGAGTTAACGAGGGGAAATCTTCTTTTAACCGTAGAAGGAGCAAGATTGAATTATAATTGCAACATGGCTAAACAAACTGCTATGATGTATCTATAGTTGAAAAAAAGAATTCAAACTTTTGAGCAAATAGTAATTTTTTAGAGGGCCTTCAATATGTGCTATTTTTCCAGTTTCGGCAGCCACGCAACTTGTGTCGAGCAGACCAAACTTCAATTAATCCTAGAAAAATTCAATTAGAATTTTTAATCAAATAAAACTCATTTTAGTGATTGACTAGGTAAGGGCTTAAAATCCCAGCTTATGAGAAAAATCGAATTTTGAAGTAAAATCAATGCTCGGTTTTTACAGAGACAGCCTCTTAACTCTTCTAATACCGTGGTGAAAAAGGTGCATGCACATTTCAACTACACGTGGACAGCAGTATACAGTGATGAGAGTGGATGGGGTTTTGTACTGTAAACTGATCGAGTTGAAATGGGAAATACCTGAGCACCAAGAATACATTGTGATAAAGCTTGCGGGCCTTCATATATAAATGTGCTTTCCGGAAACCCTATCATATCATGTGGAACGATCTGGTTTGGTAGAAGCATGGGTCACGAGTAGACTTGGATGGAATGCAACAGAACATGTAAAGAATGGAAAGGCTTACAATTAAGAGAGTAATTTGTGCCCACAAGATCACTGTGCAGTTGTTGTGGCAGCTGGTGATGCCTTTATTGCTGGAATTCTGCCCGAAATCTTACCCAAATCTTTTCCAAGAGGTAACAACCCATGCTTCATCTGCAAGTAATGCTAAAGCACAAATAACCTCCCTTGAGTTGCCAACAAATCAAAACATGCTGGATGAATTTGCAGCCCAGAAAACTAGGGAAAAGGTCAATTGCAATTGTTGGTGGAGCTACATTCCCCATGTTTACAAGGGCACAGACACAGGGAATATGGGACCTGTATTTTCACACTTTCTGCTGCATGCTGACATATTTTTTCAGATACCACCATTTCCATTATGCTAGAAAGGGATCGGTGTACATTTCAGAGATGGGGGAGTTTCTACAAAAATTATAAGAAGGGTTCAGAAAGGGCAACTTTGCTGTCAATTGGATTGCAAGCAAATTCAACCAAATGAGTCCGATAAAAGTCTTCAATGGTTGGTTGGCATAGGAAAATGAGGAGGGCCAATTGTTGGAATAACCAAGACATCATCTGCTTTAAGTAGATGGGCCTTGTCGTACAACCTGAGGTCACATATTGCTGACGCATTAAAACACACAATGTTTGCCAGGAGCAACAAGAAAAGTTTTCACACAATGAATCTACTACAGGAAGGAAGGACCTCAACAACAAAGATGAAGTTTCACTGTGTACCACCTTCAAGCAATACAAAGTAACATTGGCACAGGTACACCCAGCTTGTCTCTATAATGTTGACACTTAGGATCTTGTAACTGATGAAATTCAGGTGTCTCTGTTGCTCTTTGTAGAGCAACGGTTGCCAATTGTGCCTCAACAGCAACATGAAACAGAAAAAGTAAGATTTCAGGAAACAAGTCACCAAAATAATGCTCCTACATTCCAGAATTTGCATCAACTTGTCAAGGACAGCAAAGAGAACAACAAGACCACAACAAGACCAATTTTAAAGAATGGTAGCCTCAGAACTGGACAGAAATCAGTGTTGGCTGACATAATAACAAAGACACTAGAACGCCCAAGTAAAATTGAGCTCCAAGGCAGCTCACGCTCACTAATAGAGGACCTAGCATTAACTGTTGCCACTGGGAGACTACTGGGTGCTCAAACGTTTGGGGACTTTGCCAAAAGTTCTCAAGAAGCAAAGTTAAAAGCAGGATCATACTATCAGCAAACACATGCTGATTCCAATCACTGTGAAGTTGACTCCATCAAGTCAGATGTACTGAAACTACTTGCCCTATCTGTTCTGTAATTGAAGATAGTAACGTACCTTTCCCTTACAGCTGGCTAAACGTCCTTGCAGTACCAGATAACAAGTCAGATCTATTTAGGCTCAATTACAGCAAATTTCCAGCAACATTATCGTGGTGAAGAAAATCCTACAGAAAACGATTTCTCAATTTGGGAAACTAACCTTGACAGATCATAACTCACAAGTAAGTCACAATGGAAGATTAAGGAAAGCTGTTGCACAACCATTAACTTATTTATAAGCAATTTATATATATATATATCTACACTCTCTTTTATAGACCTGTTGATTGTACTTACTGGTCTTGCAGGGCCAGCTTTAATCCAGCTGATGCCAGTGGTTCCACATAATTTCCAAAGGAAGTTGCATTTTCAGCACTGGCGTTTCCTTGAAGAGCTCTTGAATAAATACCCTGCATGAGATCAAAATATATATATAAAAAAAAAAAATCCTGTACTCAGAGAACAATGAAAAATCTTACTAAAAGTGGAATATTTTGTTTGGTTCCACCTTAAACTTCATCAGCCACAATGAAAATGTGAATGCTAAGAAGGGTTATATGATGTTCATTATGGTCTTGAGGGGGCAATGATGATGTCATAGATATTGACTGACTCAAAGCCATTGTCTCTGTTCAAAGAGGCTTTTGTGATTGGATCTCAATTGCCACCCTTATGTGACGTTTGAACATATTGCTTTCCATGGCTAGAACTTTTGTTTTGCTTGAATCCACTGAATGTCCCGTGAGCTAGCAATGTTCATGAACAGCTGACAAGTTCCTTTACTCTAGTGATTATCACCCTCATTAATTTTGTATAAGAATTTTCCTATGCTAAAGGTAGCTGGAGGTTTTGGACCCATTCACTGAGTTTGAACTCACATCGACTCAACTAGCTATCAAGTTCACCGCAGATTAGTGGGCATAATGAAACAAAATCACACAAAATATGTTTATTTCTCCGTCTTTAATCCATTGACCTCGGAGCTAACTCGAGAAAGGTGGAGGAGAACTCAAAATAGACAGTTTAAAATGCATTCAGGAGTATGAACTAGGCAGGTGTGAACTCGATTGGGTACAAAACAGGTCGCATTCATGGTAAAATGCAGCACATAAATTTGACCTCTGCCAGAAAACTGAAAGCGGATGAGAAAATCGACAAATTAGGCGAAAACAGTGATGCAACATCCTTGACAGGCATTAGAAGGAACGAAGTCTCAACAAATCCAAAATTAAACCAGTGGCTTTGAGCTTCATTGAGCCCTACTCTGACCAATTTGTGTTACTAAGTAGCATCCCAACAATTCCAGACCTTTTTGACATCGAGAATTTAAACCTGTCATATACTGACTTACTAAAGATATGCTTTACTGTAGAAATTTGTTTGTCAAGTGAAGCAATTTTACAAACTGAGAAAGACCCACAAGAGTCAGTATTCTTTTGACATAGAGCGCGTCGAATTGGTGCATCAGTGAGTGGAGCAGTCTGCCAGACAAACCTATCTCAGCCATCACAAACACTGATAAAAATCAATTTGTTATCCAAATTTGTTTTAAAAACTGAACACAAAGGCAGTGGTGCATGAGTGCAAACACGAAGCTGACGTGATTAAAGCCTATAAAGCAGAAACGACAAAGAGTCCTGTTGACTTTCAACTCTCGTAGTGTGGGTTAGTTATCGACCAAAGATATCCTTGAATTCAAGTTACTCTAGACTCTTGGTATTTTGCCCATACTGTGGACTTGGATGTGGTGAAATAAAATGTGGTGAAGTAAAATGTATTGACAGATGTGACTTTGACAGCTATGTTTAAAAGAAGAATTCCTGCCTGGAAAAGGTAGGTGGCAAGTTCCAGCTAGAACAAAACCACAGCTACTTTTTTCAAGTACAACAACAGCTTTTTACATTACCTGCAGAACGAAAGTACTATGACTTTGTTGTTTGTGCCTTTGACAGTCCCCACCATGCAACAATTGTGGAAGAAAGAATTTACCCTGACCATGCTCACTGGAAAGTTGTTTTGCCAAAACTTACCATTTTCTAGAGAACTTGTATTTTGCCTGAAATTTTAGGCAGATGGTACCCAAGAATTAAAGAACGACATGTCCAATGAGATGCCATAAGCAGGTGGAGGAATTTGCTTTTGCAGAATGCCATCAGATGGAAACACTGATCAGCCTACCCCCCAAGGGGAAGTATTGCACACATTGCTATACAGGCTGCCACAGTACAAGCATTTGAGAAAAGTAAAGAAAGATTATTCAGAAAAAATAGCTGGGCTTGACAATGTTTGTATTTGCCATGCAAGCAGTGCTACAGCAATCTGACAAATTACCAGAGTGCCACAGTGAAGCCTGTCGGAGTGGAAATTTTTTTCACCTGACCTGTCTCTCGCTTACAAGAAAATGCTAAACAACAGACCACTTGAAAATCCATTAACTGCAAGAAAAACACTGCAAGGTCATCTCATGACAATACTGCAGTTTCAGCATTGACATGTCAGGAAAACCCAGTTTCAACTACCACTTGTTCTTCTCAATCTCTTGATGGTGAACTTGAGTTCACTGAACTTGACAATGCACAGGATTCTGACAGTGAAGAGGAAAGTGCTGATGACACTGAGGTTACTTTGGTTACAACTTGTGAATCAGAAAGATATATTGTTCACTTAAAAATCCTGATGAACAAGATTATCAAAGTTCTTTGGAAAACATGGCAGTGACATCAAAGTGCTCCAAAGAATGGAAAAGATTATCACCTATCGTCACTTGTAAATTTCCCACTCACTATGGCACCATTTTGGATTTTATGACAACACATGGTTGCACAACAAACAGTGGTTATAGCGCAACAATGTAAGTACTGTATAGGTAATGTATTTGTGCACATGAACACTATACATGTATTGTGATGTCATCAATTTAAACCACATCACCCCTGATTTGGAAGGAAAATTAGTTGTCAGATTTTACAGTATTTGAAAATTATTTACCTGGGTCATTGCTGCCAGTCTAAAGAATGACAGGGCAAGGTAGTAGTTCCAATGTTGAATAGGTGTATTACCAAGTCCACTTAATTTGCAGTAAGTGGAAACAAACTCTTCTTCAGACGGGATTCCCATTGCAGAACTCCCTGTTAAGACAAGAAGCTTACTGTCAATGTTATAAAAGTGTGAACACTTACAATATTTCTGGAATGTTCATTGGCCTGTAAACAATAAAAATTCAATTCAATTCAATTCTTTATTTACATTTAGATACATTTTATATGTAAAGAAATGAAAATTGTAAAAAAATGCCAAGAAATATAAAGCCGCAAGGAAATTTACACATGAGCAGTGGCCGAAGTAGCAATAGCCTGCAAACAGGCTCCCGGTGAGTCCGATCGAAGCGAGGGAGCCTGTAGACATTCTATTGATGCCGCCGTTCTATGATACCAGCTCCTGGTATCATGATATGATTGGTTAAATCGCTGCTTGTCTCGACCTCTCGTTATTTCACAAGTGATTCTGAAGGGTACTTTCTGCTCTGTTACGAGGAGGAATTTTAAGTAGAAGCTAGTGGAGTGGAGCTGTTTGGCGGTGCTATAGCAATTTTTTTAGGCATGGTTTCCAGACTTTCTGCTGTTATCTGCTTGTCGCTTTGCAGAGTTTGACACCTCTATTATGTGTTTATAATTTCTTTAGGCTCATTTCAGTATTGCAAAATATGTTTTAAGCTCTCTAAGTATTGGCTCTGGAAGGATAAAGTTAAGTTTGAAATATTCCGTGAACATGTTGCTTACTTGCTCTCTATATTATGACGCCCGGCCTGGCTATTTGATTAGCTCGATTAGAACTGTTTGCAAGTACTGAAAATGTACCTTCTTGACAGGTCTAATTACCTCATTGACTGATTTGTTACAGGCTTATCACCAAGGGCGGACAGGCACATCAAAAACAAAGTCTACACGCTCCCCTGTCCTCGCCCTGATCGCTTTGCTCTCCAAATTTTTCTGTTTCGTGCTCTCCGAAATTTTTTCTGTCCTCGCCGGGAGCCTGTTCACAGGCTAAAGTAGCAATAACATATTAGATCTTTAGACCGCAGAAATTTTAGACAATAAATTTCCCAACAGTTATGAAACAACATGTCTGTGGTTCCCAGTTTCTCTCAATATATATCATCAGTTTTATCTTCCAGGATTTTGGTAATAATAGGACCTTCCTATTTGAGAGCACTTATCTAACTATATGAAGATTATATGAAAGTGAAGAGTAGGTTTGAGCAATTCTAGACAAAATCAAAGGCTCTTTAAGCCAACTCCTGATATTAGAGAGAGACATGTTCATACAATACATTTGACAAAGGTGGTCAAGACGATTTTGAGGACTTTTTTTGTAACATGACACACACACATAAGCTGCCAGTTGCAAACCAACAATGCCTTGTTTACCGATTCAAATGTGACCTTGCGATGCAGGTTATGTTGGTTTCACATGCCGGCACTTTCATCAATGCACTGAGGAACATAAGAACTCTATTAGCAAACATTTCTGTGAAAAGCATTGCTTAGCCCCCAAGGACCATGCCAAGAATTTTGTTGATTTAAAGAAGTGCAAACACAAGTTTGACTGCCTTGTTGACTGCCTTGAACAAACTGAGACCAAGTCTCAAGGTACAATCTGACTCAATAGTGTGAAAGTTTTTATTCCTTAAATCAAAACCTTCTTCCAGGCAGTCCAAGCTTAAACAATTGGAAAAGGATATTACTGCTCAAGCAAGAGCAAGAACTACCTACCTGTAAACTGGAAAAGAAAAAGTGAACAATTGAAATAGAATTTCAAAGAAAAACAAGGGCTTTTGAAACGAATTTACAGATACAATTGGCAGAGAAAGTGGTAGAGTTTTTAGAGGAAGATTGAAGTTAAACTGCTAGCAATCAAACTTTAGAAGACACAGGTCTCCTTCCTATGCCACCAATGAATGACCAAGAAAAAAATTGAGCAGTGGTCTGCAAGTTGCAATCCTGAAGCCCCAGACTTTATACCATCTCAGAATGTACTGGTATTAGAATGTAATTAGAGTTTTGTGATTAAGCTGGCCTCTGCTCTGCTCTGCTCTGCTCTGCTCTGCGCTGCGCTGCTCTGCTCTGCTCTGCTCTGCTCTGCTCTGCTCTGCTCTGCTCTACTCTACCTCTATTCTATTGTATTATATTCTATCAGTCCAAGCCATGAGAAAAGCTGAAACCAGCACAAAGGGAAATACCCCTAAAAAGCCATGAGAGAGCTCTAGAGCCAAGTACCTATCTGTTAAGCCAACTACCTGGAGTGATCAAAAACCACAAGTTTTTGCTTATTTTGTTCAGTTCAGTTATACAGTGTAGGCATGACATTAATTGTTTATCCAATATGTGGGCAATAATGAGAACTTAATAACACAATCATACCTAGAGAAAACTTGGAAACAAAGTCAAGTTCCTTTGGCCAGTGATAAGGTATACAGCTGTAGGCGAGGTCAAGTATGGGATCACCAAGAGTTGATAACTCCCAGTCTAACACAGCTGTCACACAAAACTGGCGAAACAAAAACAAGCTCAGGATTAATATTTGGTTATCATGCTGGTTATATACCACATCTCACTCAAATCTTGGAATAAAAATCAAAGGTGTGAATTGTCCTGGTAGACAATAACTTAATGCAGTGTAACTAGTGAACAAACCCTTCCAATGTAAATCACAACTGGATCTTAATCTGACTGAATTATGCCAGGATTTTAAGATCAAATGAATATAATCACTGGAATCTAACATCTAACATGTATGGGTCCCATACACGGTACTTTGATCAATTAATCAGGTCAAGATATTGTTGCTCAAATCTCATAACTTATGGAACAGTTTGCTTTTAGGAATAGGCACCTCTTTGCATACTTTTGTGTTGGCAAAGATTGTTGTGTAGTTGATTGGTTCTTTTTACACAGGTTTATTTGAAGCTCAGTGATGGTTTTTTTTACCTTCCAAAATTCCCACCCCAGCATAATTTTATTCCTATTTCCTAGCTTTAGGGTTGTCTCTGGGATACCAAAACCCAAACATTTTGCCAGAGGTTGGTGGAATGCAAAGGCTGTTTGACTTCGCAAGGTTATCTACTGTAGTCAACTTAGTTCAGGAAACTATTTTTGCACTTTGATGGTGCCAAGATCTCTCTTATGTTCTTAGAGCCATACTATATATTTAATTGAAATTGTTTGCAAGTAAAGTATATTTCTCCTTATCACAGATATCATATTTAGCTTCCTTCGGCTTTTCTTCAGAGACTGCTGTAGCTTTACTTCGAAAAAGCTGTACATTTGTTTAGAGACGTTCTTATGTTTCTTGCATCAATTTGAGTGAGCTCGTGTCACTCAAATTCGATGTTTAGGTTAACTTTATACCAGCGGGTTTATACCTCCTTCATTCAAATAGAGTTGGTGGAATGCAAACCCCGAAAGCTAGACTGAAAACATATGGAGAGAGAGCATTTGCTGTGGCGGCACCGAGACTATGGAACTCGATCCCACTTGAACTAAGATCGAGTAGTTCGATTGACATTTTTAAACGGCATTTAAAAACATATCTTTTTAAACAAGCTTTTTAACTCTTTTAATTTTTAGATTATTTTTTTATTTTTTTTCCCCTCCCCTTTTTTTAGCTTTTTAAATATTTTTTAATTTAATGTAAAGTGCCATGGACAAATAGTGGATTGGCACTATATAAATATTTTATTATTATTATTATATATGCTCAAGTCTGTTTGCAATTATTGCACCAAGGTTTTGGTGCAATATTGTGAACAGCATATATTGCATATATTGTGAACTGCTCTTTCTCAGGGAACAGAAAATACTGGCTTATCTTTTTGGACGTAAAGATTAGCTTGTATTTACTGTTCTCAACATCTCCTAATCTAGCACTAGCAAGTGATGTGGACATCAAACCCTTTGATAATGCTTCCTTTAACTGATCTTGTATGACGCTTTTGAGCAGACAGACAACAATCCCACACGCAGCTTCCAGCGACAAAATTTTTCATACCCAAATCCACAACTGGATGATGAGGCCTTTACCAAAGCCTGTCAGAAAAACTGCTAATAAATTGCATCCATGTACAAGTATATCGAAATAGCTTCCTTTTGCTTGGGGCGTAATTCACAGTGCAGCATCAACGCTTAGCAAGCCTGCCATTTTCTCTCCAAATCACAAGTTCTCCCACCTGCGGAATGGTTGGAAAGGTTGGAAAGAAAAACTACCTTAGATTGACAGGTATCAATCAATTTACAACCTACCACACCAAACATAGCCCCCATCCGTCTGGTGTACGGGTTCTGCAAACAAACAAAGCTTGCAGGCAGGGATATTTTTCCTTCCCCTCCCCCTCTCCCGTCGCCCATTTTTCAACCTCACGCTTACTCCCTCTGCAAATTTTCCCTTGCTCCAACCCTCCAAAGTTACCAAATCCAAGATGGAGGCCTAATACAAAATGTGCACCAGTGCCTATAACATGCCTGTACTGCAGGCTAGCTGAGAACAAGGTTGCCAACTTTCAAGAACCTCCTAGAAACTAGACCTAGTCCTACATCCCAGATTTGTCAAAAATTACCCTCACATCAACAATTCCAAAACGCATTCTGTAACTTTTGTACTGGGCCCCAGTCCACCCTACAAGAAGGCCAACCAATGAGAATACAGTAGGAACACCAATGGATGACCTCTGTGGTTGTCAAACAGTACTAGGCTCCTCATTCATACATTGTGGCAACCCCAGATGGGATGCAGATGCCTTGGCATTGTATTAACCTTCAGGTAACCAGGGAGGATGCATCTCCAGACTCATGGTGACTGGTAACATGAGTGCAGCCTGTGTCATCAAACACTAGCGCTGGGATCAAACAGCACAAGACACTTTTGCAGTATGAACTTCTGCAAGCTGACCAACCCACCAGAACAAGTCAGAAGATTTGAAGACCACCACAGCATCTAATTATAACTGCATAGATGTTGTCACCTGCTATTAGAGAACTCAGAGGACCCTTGAATATTTTGTAGTTAACAAAAGTTATGGCTGTGTAGTAGAGAAAACAGAAAAGCCCCTATCCTGCCTTCTGAAAACAGGTAAGGGCATGTCCTGACAAAACCACTCTGCCATGGGGGTCACAGTGGCTGAGACTAAACAGTCCATAGCTATACCATCCCCTGATGCCACTCGTATCACTGCTTTAGTGGCTTTGATTCAAACACCATCAAGACTGCAGATACTAGACCTACCCCCAGCCCCATAAATGGCAGCATCATCACTGTGTTTTTTCATTTGTCTGGGGGTGATGTAGAATTATACAGTTCCCATTGCATCTTGGGTACCACAGGTTGTGTTCATTCACCATTTTGAACCATCAATGGGGACCAACAAAGAACATGTGATGCCTATATTTAAAAAAAATGTTGCATGTCTCAAGAAATTTTAAATTGAGAAGTTTAAACTTCAGTACATCAATCAAATTCACACCAACTCGTGGCTAGTGGATATTTACCTTGCCACTCATAGCTCAGTAAATATCCATCACAGCCCACCTCCCCAGTGGAAAAAAATAATTATTGTTAATTATGCACCATTATATATAAATTTCAACTCGAGGGCCGTTGCAATATAGTGACATTAAGGTTAGTTTATACGTGTACCTTAGTGGGATGAATAATCAGGTTATCCAGTCTAAAATCTCCATGAACTAAAGCTGCATGAAAAAAAAAAACAAAACAACAGTTAGAAGTTGCTGTAATATATTAACTGCTAGTCAAACCATAATGGTAACAAGATACATGTAACTAGAAAACTTTTCTATCAAACAATCCTAAAGACCACCAGGTTTAATTTTTGAATCTTCCCAAAAGCCCAAGGGAAGTATTTTTTGCGTATAATCAAAGTTGTATCTTTTTACTTGTAGTCATGCAAGCAAAGAACAAGGACATCAGCCAGGCTCAAAGTAAGGATCTCATGTTCCAATCTGATAGGCTTTGGTGCCATAGGTTTGAATCTGCCCAACACAAACAGAAACTGAACAGTAGTAAGTTCAAGTCCACCTTAGGACTTGATTTTTTAATTATGCAAGTTCTGAAATTGAAAATAGCAAAAAAACCTGAAATTGTTTCTAATCAGTAATTATCTTTAACAGCATAAAATTATGCATCACTTATGCAGTGATTTGAAGTGCCATGTTCTGAAATACCTCAAGAGCAACTTGATTATCAGAGTACACTTGAGCAAGTGCTCATACAAAGTAAAATTGCAGTAACGCAATACCAGGTGACTTGCACACATGACAGCCAGCACGAGGTCAATATGTCGCAGGAAGAATTGTGACGTTGCGTTTAGTCAAAGGTATATTATATCTGTTTCACTTGATCTAACCATTTTTTGGTCTATTTGAGCCAGATGAAAATCAGCCACTCATGATGAGCAATCAAGAATTGTGGCATTTGGTGGACTGTGTAATTTCACTGCTCTAAGACAGCCTTGAAGTGACTCCTGAAGATTTAGTAAGCAGAGTAAACCAGGTTGATTCTGGTCATTAGAGAGCACTTTCTAACTCTACTACTTTGTCGTCTTCGTCTAACGCTTAAATAAAGGCAGCCATCACAAGCCTTCCAGCAAAACAGCTTCCTGAACAAGTTAAGAGACACAATGAAGTATGTTAACTGGAGTTTCAAGAGGAAATGGCTCAAAAGGAACTAGAGAGGAAACTGGAATGTTGAGAGCAAGAACGCAACCTACTACGAAGGAAAAGAGAAGACCAAATGGCTGTGATTTCTGCCCAAAAGCAAGCTGAAGTGGCATGAAATACTGGGTCAAGAATCTAAATGGAGGAAAGGCCTCCAATGATGAAATCAGCAAGGCCAGTAAATCTTTGCCATCTTCGAAGCATTTTGTAGTGCCCAGTCCTAAAAAAATCACTGAGGTTGAAAGCAAAGTTAGTCCCTGTATTGAAGTTAAACTTGAATTATTCAGGAATATGTTTTCCAAGATTGTAAAGGCAATGTTTACACAGATTCACCTCTGGATAGACAAGCTGTCACGTATGATTACTCCCCATTGTGTACAATTTCTAAGTCCTTGCCAGTAAAGAATCGAGAGTTCCATGAAGCTCACAGCAATAGCTTCACCTTGGGCTCTGCTCAGGCACCAGAAACAAAGGAAATGAATCAGATATGATGACATTCAGTACTGCAGTGCAGTCACCTCAACAAGGGTATTACAGTCCTCAAAGTAAATACTTGTTTCAAACTAAAGCTACTCCTGTTAGCCTAGCTGCAAAACCTCCATTGCACAAAGACTTGTCTTCACCTGGTGATGTGTCTGTGTTCCAGCCCAAACCTGAGTCATTTCTTTGTGATAACAGCAACACCGCTGCTCTTCCAGCAACCTTTGTTATATTGTTTTCTTGTCCTGGTCCTGGTAGTAAGGATAGCAACGTTACATTGGCATCACCGTCTATGGGTGGTTCCCCTGACCACTTAGCCCAAACTCCACACAAGTCAAACTTCACTGCTCCATTTAACCACTCTCAGCCATCATATGCAACACAATAGGCCCCAGCTACCCAGAGTATATCAACCCCCTACTTTGGTGGACCTTATAGAAATAACAGTCACTCACCAAGAGTAGAAGAACCAGTAGATGCATTTATTGACAAACTGAGAGAAGGTCAAGAAACTACCTTCCTTTATGAGCTTCTGTGAGCTCAAGAACAGCAGCGATTACCATTCATTACTTGAGCTTTTCAAATTCACAGGAAAACCTATGAGTGGCCTAAATTCATTGAGAGATTTCGTGATCAGATTCACAACAAAACAACCCTCACCGACTCAGATTGAATGGCTTATTTATTCCAAAATCTTGATGGGGAAGCTCAGAAAGCAGTGGAGAGTCTGAGTGTCTGGTGCCTTTATCTCACAACATCATTGGGAAGAGCGGTCAATAATATTGACGTCTTCAAGGTCAAATTTGTGATTGTTTTGTATGGAATGCTGGGCTAATAAAGAGNGTTGTACTACAGTAGTTGTTGTTTCTGACACTTAATTGTTAGTACATCATGCTAGGTAGTGGCTATAAGGCCACATTACTTGTAGAACCTCATCACCAGGATTGACCTTTCATAAAGTTACATATACAAGTACTCCAGTGAATGCATTGTCCTAACATGTGAACAGATTTCAATGTTACCTGTCAGTTACAGTTAAGCTGAGCACCTTTAGTTGAGCCTAACAAGAAAACTACTTTTTGAGAACATACATGCAAGTACTAGCCTCCTCTTTGTTGAAGTACAGGTGGTGAGGGGCCAAAAGGTTTTGGTGACTAGAACACTTCTGCTGATGACCACATCTGAAAATTTACAGGCCACCTAGCCTCAAGGTTTTTTCCTTCAAATTTTGTGAGGAAAAGGTATCTTCTGAAATCAACCATTATTCTTCAATTCAATAACAAGATCTACCAAAGAAAGTCTTCGCACTTACACACTGAGTGTCTGCTTTGTAATATTCGATTACGCAGAATACAACATTGTCAAACCTGTTTTTTGTGTGTTGATAGGGGGAACATTCTTTTCCAACCAGGTGAGTAGACTTTCCATGGCATTAATCTGATGTGTTTCAGATGCTCTGTACTGCTTTCCCCAGGTTGACACCTTGTTTTAAAAATAGATCATTAATTAAATTTATTGTTAATGATCACTAAAGATACTCTCTTTGAGATGTTTCTTATTATCGTTACCTAATGAAGTATTCACAGTGTACTGGGAGAAATAAAATGCAGGAAAGAAACTGAATGACACCTTCTATGTTGTTGCCATGGCAACACTCTTGGCTCCAGTCTCTTTCTGAGGAAAACCAAATATTACCATTTGCAACCTTTTACAGTGGATCAGAGGGTCTTGCTCGGAAGACACATGGTTCCTATATTGTCTGAACTCTAACCATTAGATTGTTGGGAGTGGATGATCCCTGTTTAAGATAAAATCTGCAAATTGTAGTCTTAATTAAAACAGGACCAGTGGCATAACTGTTGTCATGGCAACAGCACAACAGGTGTCATTTTGTTTCTGTTGTGATGTACATTTCTGGTCCTAAGTTTAAAGAACACTGCTTTAATATTTCTAGAGATATTCTTGATTGAGTGTTGTACTGTTTTAGTGGAACCACCTATGACATCATCACTTTCCTCATTTGCATAATACAAAAATGTGAACATCTCTAAAATGAAAAAAGATATTCCAAAAAACAAAATGCCATTCTTCTTTACTTTGAAAAGCCTTTGAAATAAGCAGCAATTTTTTACTTCACAGGCACTTTAAGAAATTGGAAAAGAGAGTGAGAGTGAGTGAATTGATCCAGCTGACTTGAACTAGCAAGCTCATTGATCTAATGCACACTAAACTCAATCAAAGCAAAATACGGCCCACTGAAGAAAATAAGCGTCTTTCAACACCTTATTGCAGAAGTTTTCTCTTGTTGACAGAATCTTTTTAATACTAAAGGACAATTTACTCTTTTCTCTAAGTTACAGTCAAATTACTGTTGTTTCCAATGTAATCAGAAGTCAATAAAACAACTTGAATAATTGGTATAACTTGTAACCCACACATGCACCTATTGTAGACCTATTTTTTAAGTTACAGTTGGCAAAGTGCTGTAGGATTTTAATTACCTGCCTCCTTAGGTAGTTGGTCTGCTGCCCAAAATCAGAAAGTCCCAGATTCTTGTAATTGATGCTGTGCAACTTAGCTAAAGTAGTGACCATTGCACTGTAGATAGCTCTTCTTTCAGCCACTGAGTGATCTAGTAGAGATGGACTTCGAAATATATCCCCCTAGGAGAGTATACAATGATCAAATCATTTTTAAGTGGTTCCTGCACATGTATATTTGCACTCAGTCTGGTAATTAAAAATAACCACAAATCTAGCCTGCACGTAATGCTGGTATTTCATAACACCTCAGACATCAAGGGTCTGGGTCAAATGAGTCCCTGGAGGCCTCATTTGTCCTATTTAACAAACTGTGTCAGGTTTTCTGTCAGTTTTGCCAAGTTACACTGCTCTGGCACCATTACAGATTTTTTGTTACTTTAATCTTGTGTTACCAAAGCCACTTTCTTCTTGCCTTGATGGTTGTTCCAGGTGAATCTGATCCCAACACATTGGCTGACCTAATGCAAGCACAGCAGCAAGGCCCAGCACAAGACCAGCCACCCATTCAATGACAGCAAGAACAGCAACTTCAAGCTCCAGCGGCTCAGGCACAAGTTGATGAGATATTTTATCGCCACTCCTAGTTTTAACCATGACAACATGTCGACCACAAGGTTGGTTTTGGTGGTCCTTGTGGGATCTGGGTGGGGCACCTTTCTTAGTTTTATCATCCCCTCATCATTTTGTTGTCATGCTAGCCTATTTTACCACCTACTTTCATGGCTAAGGTATTTATTCCACGCTCCTTTCCAAGTTGTTTTTATATCCATGTTTTCATTTTTTGTGTTCTTGCCTGTTCACATAAGTTAAGCCCGGGCACGTAGTCTCTCTGCATTTTGAGACCCTAGAAAGAGATTCGACGTGTGTTTGACCCGAGAGAGTCTAATCTGGTCACATGTTCGACCCAAGAAAGAGCTTGGTTCTGTGTTCAACCTGAGAGAGTCTAATCTGTTTGTGTGTTCGACTAGACTGCAAAACAGTCGTTTTTGGGCG